TATATTTGATATATATCCCCTACAAATGTATGTATGTATGTATATCATATTCCAATCGCGATATTATTTACGATCATGGTGTAATGAATTTAAAAAAATATCGGTATAAATTGATTAGTTTATGGAAGTATGTAACGAGATTTGATCCTTAAACAGAATTACGAATTAGATCGCGAATTAGCCGGACCAACAATGATGTATGTATATATATATATACATATTTGAAGACTTTTTTTTTTTTTTTTTAAAAAAAGAATCATATTCTTGTAAGTTGTACCAGCATGAGAGACATTTGATTCTAATTCAAGTGCAAGGAATGTACCAAAAACAAGAAAAGAAAATGGAGGTATGTTTTTTACATTGTAAAGTAAAAAGTCAATGGTACAAGTATTTGAACATTCACGGACCAGTTTATCTTGCGTGTTCAATCAAATGACACGTGAATTGAAGGCTCCATGTCATAAATAAGTAACCAGTAAAAATTAGACACATCTGAGCATGACCGATTTATATCCCTCAAACTTATTAAGGCTTGTTCGGTGGGGTAGGTGTTTTGTTTTTACGGAGTAAAATTTTTGTATATTAAAATATTTCGTAAATAGTGAAAAAAAATCAAAACACTAGTTTAATATTTTTACGATATGTTTTCGCACGATAATCTTTTGGTACTATAGCGAGTAAAAAATATTTTGAAATACACTTAAATTATATTTAAAAATTAATCATTATATTTTTCAAACTTGTAATATTTTTTTACCAAACATGTTTTTGATTACTATTCAAAACATTTTACAACAAAATACTTATTCTGCTTTAGATTAAAACAAAACTCCAAAAAGAAAACGTGTGCCAAATAGGTCCTACTTGTTTTAATTTTGGTGTTTTTCTTTTTAGCGAGTGTTGTAATAGTCAACATTGAAAAGAACGTGTTGAATAAAAAAATGTTTTGTTTGCATTGTGTCAAAATATTTTGTAAATAGTGACCAAAAATTAAAATACCAATTTGATATTTTGACATGTTTCAACACAATAGTAACGAGTATTGTAGCGATGAATAGTAAAAATAAAAATAATAATAATAAAAAACTCTTAATTGACAATTTTGAATAACTCTTAATTGACACTTTTGAACTGATAATTATATTTTTCAAAGGGTAAAGTACAATGACACTCCCTGAAGTTTAGCATAAGGACAAACAAATACAAGTTGGTTCATTTTTGAACAATGACATCTCTTGTCAAAAATTGGATCCAAACAACCCCTTAAATATTATAAAAAGTCAATATTGCCTTTTAATATTTTATTAATTTAAATTATAAAATATCAAAACTCTTAAATGACGTTTTTACCCTTATACACTCATTACACACACACATAAAGATATAAAGATATATAGGTCTGGGTGGTGGATGTCGAGGCTGGCCGAATCTTTGGGGCCGGTTTGGTTGTATGGTGGTTTGAGAGAAAAATTAGGTTTCGCTGATGAATGGTATTCGGTAACCCATTTAAACATATTTGATTCAAGGGTATTTAAATCAATTGTATTTGTCAATTTTATATCAAAGGGTAATAAAGTTAATTCACTATTATTAGGTGTCTTTGTCAATTTTATCAAACTTGAAGAGATGTTATTGTTCAAAAATAGATCTAACTTATATCTCCCTGTCCTTATGCTAAACCTCATGGTGTCATTGTACTTTACCCAATTTTCAAACTGGTAATACTTTTTACCCAACAAATTTTCATATTTTTGTTTCCAAAAATTTTGTTACAAATGTACATTACCAAACCTCCATCCAATTATTATTATGATTTTGTGAAACAAACATGCTCCGAGTAAACTGATCTTATCAAACTGTCTTTTGGACAAAATCGAATAAATAGGGCAAGAATGATAGTGCGACTAATTGTTTTATTTTATAGATTTATATATATATATCTATATATATATATATATATATATATATATCTATATATTAACTAAATGAGTTACCGAACAGCCAATTTGCATAAATAATACCAAAGATAATGTTTTTGCATCCATTTAAGAAGAACATAATAACAAGGTCACCCTGTTTGATGACTTCAAAATTTTAAAGTTTATTTATTTATTTATTTTTTATTAACAAAAAATATACTCACACTCACTTTTGTCTTCACAGGAATTTCAACTTTCGATCTTCTATTTTGGAAAGTAAGAAATACCATCAAGCTACAAGGCTCTTGGTATTTTTGAAGTTACGAGATCTTGAAAAATAAATTTAATAGGCATTACTTCTGACTTAATTGATAGAAAGCTCAACTCCCCAACGGATGTGTTCGTTTTCGAGGGAAGAATAGCAGAAGAAGAAGAAGAAGAAGAAGAAGAAGAATGATCTAATAAGTGTGGGAGATATAGCATGATTCAATTAGAGGGCTTTGAAATTTGTCATAAAACACCATTTCGGCTCCAGTGAAAACTTATATCCGACATTTCATTACTGTGCCCATAATTTAAAAATAATTTTTATTATCTTGAAATTAAGCCACCACATCCCAGATACTAGATCAACACATTTCGTACTCAACGAGCACATTCTACAATCTTTGTCTTATATAAACAAACACATGATAGATATTATGAACATATATCAAGTGTCCATCCACTTTTTCTTTAAAAATTGACATTAAACATCCCAAAGTATGGAATTGACAAGATACTATAGTAATATCATATATAATACGGAACTTGGAGTGCCATGGCCCGAGCCTAGCGCTAACCAAAAATAATAATAATAATAAATAAAAAATTCATATATAATACAATATTTTCTTTGTGATATTGAATAGCTTCATCATCTCACTTTTGTAATTTTACCATAATTGTCTCAATCAATAGATAGATAAATAAAATTTTATATTTATATTAGTTGTGTTCATGTCATCTACGTTATGTCTGACTCTTACTTTTTTTAAATTTAACGTGTTGATGTATTCATATCATATTGTGTCCGTATCTATACTTCTTAAACTAGAATGATGATTGTTCGTTTGAAAAACTAAAAGGAAAAAAAAATATCAAAAATAATCTAAATTGGATTTTAAATAATATTATATTATTTTATTTTTTCTCTCTCTACTTAGTGCTGAAACCTTAATATAAGAAGTGAAAGTAACGAAGATAAAGGTGGACCAGTCATCTTAAAATAATGTTGAATATGAAAAAATTAATGTAATAAACAATTCACAAGAAATCATTTTGGGAGATGCTCGTTCAAAATTATAGTTACAAGAAACTAAATTGACAAACCTAGAAATTATGGAACACAATTGTCCCTAATGTGGAAGGTTTTAAAAAAAAAATCTCGTGATCTTCATCACATACCGATTGAAGAAGGTTTACGTGTAAACTGTCTACAGATTGAAAAAGGTTTACGTGTAATCTGTCCAGTGTTTGGAAAGAATAAGGCGGCAAATGAATTCGATACATTAACCCGTGTTGTTTGCAATCTATATACTGTATATATGTATATATATCTATCTTAATAAATCTCTTTAGCTCAAGACCCTTGTTTGAAATTGATAGCATCTTACACCTTTCTCTCTTTCACACACAAGCATTCATGACTAGACATAAAGTGAAAAAGAGTGTGAGAGTGAATTCGAGAATAAGAAAGTGGCAAAATTAAGTCCCAAGTAGTAAAAATTGGAGCAAGAGCATGCGCAGAACGTGAGAGCGAGAACGTGCTTAGAGTGTGAGAGCAACGCCGGTTGAAAAGAATTGTGTGATTTAAGTCTGCAAAATCAAACCTCCCAAAGTCAACGAAAAACACTAGTTGTTTCTTGGCAGTGAATCAGGAGGACGGTGACATATTTTCTATACCTGTCCTAACAACAAATTAAAGGGTTGATAATTACAACCCTAATTCAAAATCCTAGAAAAGTCCACCTTATGTGCCAGCAATTTTTTTTCCACATATTGGAGGATATGAAAACAAATATGCAAAATTGACATTGTTTTGTTGTTTATATCGTTTCTAGTCAAATCAAGAAGCATCAAGTTTGGTTCTCAGACCCTTCTAAATGGTTCCTCACATGGCTAGCTTACTGGAAATAAATATAGCTTAATAAGTGTACCAGAAAATAAAACAGAGATAATGAATTTAAGTTAATAAATGTTTATCACCTGATTCAGCATACATTGAATAGATTGTCTTTGGGGATAATGAGATAAAAGCCTAATAAATGTTGGGTGGAGTGTTATAAACTTATATTCCGTTAGTACTCAACTATTTTGGGATGGAGGGAGTAAGAATTATTAATGTTCTTGGACGCTTAGTGGTCCACTCCAATCTAGAATCTCGAAATTAAGAGAAATATTAATGCTCTTGGACCATTGACTGTTTGGTGGTCCACTCCAATATAGAATCTCGAAATTAAGAGAAAATGATAATACAAGACTTACCATGAAATGTCAAAGTCTACAATTTTTTATTGGTCATGTTTACCAAATACAGTATATTTTTCAATAATACATTACAAAGAAACCTAAACATTAGTTTAAGTTGGACTTGACCACAAAGTAATCCACATTATTATTTAATAATTTCTTAATTAATAAATATAAGTTGTTTTGGAAGATGTTAGAAGATATGGATGGATCTAATTCAAAATTTAATTTGAAATTACACCTTCTCGTGATACTTATCTAATTACACCTTCTGGTGAAACATATCTATTTAATTCATTATCCAATGTAAAGATTCATTAAACTTCTTATTAGTACGAGAAATGTTTAAACTTCATTAGGTCCAGGGGTATTAAAATATTTTTCTTTATTTTTCTTTATTTGGAAAGACAGATCATACCATCTAGGCTAATACCCATGTATTTATGGAAGTTACCATAAAAACCAAGTACCAAAATCTTGTCACTCTTTTTGTCTTTTTGCTCCATCCAGACCTTTCTCCCTCTATATAAACCACTGCCTTCTTCCTTTCTCAATAACTCAAAACAATAGCAAATATCCTGCATTGTACTTCAATACAAGCTACCTCATTTGCTCATATATATATATATAGAGAGAGAGAGAGAGAGAGGGAAAGAGTGAAAAAGATGAAGGTTGGAATCCTTATATATGTTCTCTTCCTTGTTGCTCTATTCTTGTACGTCTCCTTAAGAAGAAAGAAGAGAGAACCCCATAAAAAGTCTTATAAGCTTCCTCCAGGTTCAATGGGGTTCCCTTATATAGGAGAGACCCTTCAACTCTACTCTCAAGACCCTAATGTCTTCTTTGCTACCAAACAGAGAAGGTTCCCTATCTCTTTATATGTTGTTTTACTTTCTTACCTCCTAAATATATCTAATTTCTATTGATTGTTACAATTTTTTAGTACATGAATTTGAATGTGGTAGACATGGTTGTTCAGGTACGGCGAAATCTTCAAGACCCACATACTTGGTTGTCCTAGTGTCATGTTGGCTAGCCCTGAGGCTGCTCGGTTCGTGTTGGTGACTCAGGCTCACTTGTTCAAGCCCACGTACCCGAAAAGCAAGGAAAACTTGATTGGTCCATCGGCACTCTTTTTCCACCAAGGAGACTACCATATTCGCCTGAGGAAACTGGTTCAGAGCTCATTGTCCCCAGAGGCCATTCGCAACGTAGTGGCTGATATCGAGGCCATAGCAGTCTCTGCCATGAGCTCGTGGGGCGGTGGTCACATCGTGAACACATTCAATGAGATGAAGAAGGTTTGGTTTCAATCAATGTTGTTTGTTCAAATAGTCAGATCAGACTTCTTTTGTGGTTTTTATGTTAAGAGCTACAAATAGTTAGTCAGTGACATGGTTGTTTCTTAGACAGGTCAAACATATTACAGAACTGTCTTCTTATCTCATTTTACCAATTGGGGTCTCTCAAAATTTTGTTAAATTCATAGATTTCTAGTAGAATTCTCAACATTGTGTCCTTGTTGTGTCCTTTCAGTTCTCTTTTGAAGTTGGTATACTGGCTATATTTGGCCAGTTGGAGGCTCACTACAGAGAAGAGCTTAAGAAGAACTACAGCATATTAGATACAGGGTACAATTCTTTTACTACAAACATACCAGGAACTCCATACAAAAAGGCCTTATTGGTAAGAAAAGTGTTATATATGTCATTACTAGTTTGACTTAGCTTATAGATTATAAAAGGCTTTAAATTTACCTTTTTTCTTATTGCTGATTAATCTAAAAGGCAAGGAAGAGGCTAAGTAAGATTCTGCGTGAGATCATCCGTGAGAAGAAGGAAAAGAGGTTATTTGATAAGGACCTGTTGGGATGTTTCTTGAACTCCAAAGATGACAAGGGTGCAATCTTAACCGAAAACCAAATCGCTGACAACATCATCGGAGTGCTCTTTGCAGCTCAGGACACCACAGCCAGTGTCATGACATGGATTCTCAAATACCTCCATGACAACTCCAAACTTCTGGAGGCTGTAAAGGTAAAGATCCATAAAGACTCTTATCTTGTTCCGAGAGACATTTCGATCATAACCATTAATGTTGAAACTGTCTTCGCAGACTGAGCAGAATGCAATCTACCAACTAAATGATGGAGGTAAGCGTCCATTGACTTGGACTCAGACAAGAAACATGCCGGTTACATACAAGGTAACACTGTTTATCGCTAGACTCATTGTTTGCCTTTTTGCATGGAAGCTAGGATTTGGGAGTACTAATATGTATATATATATATTTTGTAATTTTGTATTATGATTATTATTACTACGGCTACTATTAGAGCTCGGATTAGGATCCAATGTCACGCTAACAGTCCTATCTTAATTCTTGGGGTTATAGATTGTATCGACCATAGCAGTAAAATCTGTTTTTATCATGTAACTATTGTGTGCTTTGCCTAAGTGGCTAACTTTGGACAACTATGGAGATTTCAGGTTGTATTGGAGAGCTTGAGAATGGCAAGCATTATATCTTTCACTTACAGAGAGGCAGTGGCTGATGTAGAATACAAGGGTAAGATTACTGAAATCTCCTCATTGCTTTAGGGGGGATGGTAAAAAAATTACCACCAAATTGGACCTTTTTATTTTTTTTGGTAAGAATTTTTGTCTCTTGTAATATAATCTTTATTGAAAGTTTAATTTGGGACAGGGTACCTAATACCAAAAGGTTGGAAGGTCATGCCTTTATTCAGGAATATTCATCACAATCCAGAATTCTTTACTGATCCTCAAAAATTCAATCCTTCCAGATTTGAGGTATGATTTCAAAGGATGCTTTTACCTTTTCTGGACTTTTGCGAAAGGTTAAGGTTATTTATTTATTTATTTATTTTTATTTTCTAAGTTTTGTATTATTTTCAAATATTTTTGACATGTTATGTAGGTCGCACCGAAACCCTATACATTTATGCCATTTGGCAGTGGAGTACATGCGTGTCCCGGTAATGAGCTTGCCAAGCTGGAGATGCTCATTCTGACCCACCACCTGGTCACCAAGTTCAGGTATTATTTCAAAACTTGTATGATCAATGACAGAAACAGTATGTTGCAATGTCTGCCCCACAAAACACATACATACACACCCCCTAAATGGTCCCCCAAGAAAGATTTGCCCGTCACAATGACACTACTAAATCCTAACTATTCCAGAAATTTTCTGTCACAAGAAATATGGATTGCATTTTCAACATAAAATATCATGGCATGAAATCTTACTTATCAATAAGATAACAAGATAATAAATGGAAAGACACTGCTTCATAATAAAAGTAAGAGTAATAATATAGAGTTGGAGAGTCAGACATATCCAACTAAAATTATGTGAGTAAGGGATGACGTCATGATGACATCATCATTTCGTATAACGTCATGATGATGTCATCCCTGACTTTCGGACTACTTAGCATTATATTCTAAATGTATTTGACAATGGCATTTTGTTTTGGTGGTTGATGACTGTGATTGCAGGTGGGAAGTGGTAGGATGTCAAACTGGGATTCAATATCACCCCTTCCTAGTCCCTCTTCATGGACTCCCAACCAGATTTTGGAAAGAATCTACCACCTAAAGGCAGCATGGATATATGTAATAGCATAAATCCATTCCTTCCCTCCAAAATCATCTAGGGATTGAAGAAGATGCCACCTTTTCCCTCTACATTATGTTCCTCATCTTCATTCAAGAATTTTACTATGTGTGCCTTTACAGCTAGCAATTTGTATCTTCTATTTTGGTGAATTAGAATCAGAAGAAATTTTAATGGAACAAAGAAAAGCAACGTGTTGATGTTGACCCAATGAATCATACTTTAAATCTTGGATGGTCTTGGTTATTGCCATGTGTCTTCTTCAAAATGGTCATGTGTCAGAGAAGAGCGACACGTCGTGTTAGTGTGATTGGCTAAGTGAAAAAAAGAAGAAGAAAAAAGTGGTTCACTCAGCTGGAAGGCACCCTCTAAAGGATACAATGCTTTGTTGACTATTATATGGAACCACTTTCTTTGTAGACACAACCAAGATGAATCAAAATCTTCTCTCATACACACTGCCGTATCCTACGGTGCACATTTCACCACATTTACTACGAAATTTCACTAATGTAGTGATGAAATTTTCACCATTAAAGTGGTAAAATTTGAAGTAACAAACGATATCGTTTCGATAAGTAGGTGGTATAGTGCTTTGAGCGCCATTAATTGAATTGTCACCGCAAAGTACTTTGTCCTAGAGAGAATTTAAGTCCCTACCAAATGTGGCAGCTAGAGCTTGGTAGGCTGGCAGCCGTAGGACTTTTCCATGTTCTCCAGTGGCTCACTTGATGATATTTCTAAGGCCCCATTTTCCTACAAATGACGAAGTGATTTGAAAAATCCGGAGAATTCCAAGTCTTCTCCGAATTCCTCGGTTGCTAATTTCAAAAGCATTATAGTTGATAATTCCAAGTAGAATGATTTCAGACCAGCCATGATCTTGGAAAAACAATTCTAGTAATTTTGAGCCAAAAAATTAGTGACTTCTAGAAGTGCATTCATAGCCACAATATTCGTGTTTCATTTTCTTTACATGCTACTTTGATGCATGAAAGCATCCTTGACCAAATATAATGTGATCTAAAAACCTTAGCAAAGACTTCTACAAATATCCTATCTTCTTAAAAACATATAGAAATTATTGATGAACAGAATATCTAAAAGGTATTCTATTTGCATAAAACCAGAGGATCAATGAACAGAATAACCTTCACCCAATTTTCCTATAAATGCACTTGTTAGTAAAGGGCTCCAAAATATATTGATAGTAAACCGAACAATTGTTTGCAGAGAAAATAAACTAATAAAGTTGAACTGCGGAGAAAATAAACCAACATAGTTGAATTTCACATTTGCATACATCAAATTATGTAGAGATAAGAATAACCATCAACTCCGTGCTGAAAAAAGGGATATTCCAAGGGCTTTTCATCTTTTAAGCTAACCATAAATTCCTTATCCCCCGACCATAGTGATGAACCAAGCTAATTTTGGCTTACACATTCCAGGATGTAAACTTCATTTTTGTACTAAGTGGAGGGAGAGTAATTACATTTCTGAGGGATGTTAAGAAAAAAGTCCTTACAAAAATCAGAAAAAGAATGGTTTTAATGAACCTTAGCAGCACAATGAGATGTGTTCCTATGGAAGAGATTTTCCTTGATACCTATTGTAATTCCTGAAATTTTCCTTCATTAGAAGATTGGACAAACTACTATTTCCAAATACATGCCCAACATGAAAGTGCTGTTATGAAACCAGGATCGATTTTCATTGATACCTAACATGATGCATAATAAAAACCTTTTAACTGTAGAATGGCCTCAGAATCCTTAGAAAAAACTAACGAAGATGGTGTCTTTCTACAGAAATATCTAGTTCAAGAAAGGGTTCAAAAAATATTAATCTTAGATAACAAACTTAGCTGTATAGAATCAAGATGAATTATTGTCCACATTCATGAAAATTATATAGCAACAGCAGAATGTTTTATTCCTTTTGAGGATATCACCAAAACTCTTGTTTTCCAATTAAAATGCCTCACAAAGATGAAAATCACCTCCCTGTAAAGATGAAAGACAATGGTTTCTGAAAAATGTTCCTAAAAGTAAATACAGTCTTCATAAGAACTGTCAAAATGATTTCATTCCCATGAGAGGTTAATATTTCCCTGGATTTCATGCTATTCTTCCCACTGTAAGATTACGGTAGACCGTAGACTAAACAAAGTCGCTAGTTAACTAAATAACTTGTGGTTCAGAACTACAATTAGATTCGATTAGATCTATCTTGACATGAAAAAAGACAAAATAAACAGCAGCACGAGGAGCAATGATTTGTTATTATTACAGCAATAAACAACATACTGTGCATGTCACAGGAAATATTATTATATTCCTTTCTGGCAAAGAGAGAATTCTTTGGTATAATGTCACGTATATGCAATGTCAAAAAGTACTTAATATCTCATTCACTAGTATCAAGTATTCAATGATTTAAGGAAAGCAAGGTTCAAGGACATAACCAGATAAGCTTAAACATCTTGAGAAGTAGGAGATGTGTGTTCAAGAATAGCTGCGATAATCCTCTCGCCTCTGGTTGGGAATGCTTCCAATAGAGTCCCATCTTTATAGAAGTGGAAGAACAGCACAGCCTAATCAATTCACGATCACCTCAATTTCAGTGGAGAACTATGTACGAGACTTAAAGAACAACAAAACTTTAGTGAAATATTCGGTAGAATGGCCATAAGAAATTAAAATTTGCATCTTGGATGAGCATGCATATGAATGACACTGTCTCAATGAATCATTAAGCTCTTTGATCAAGACAATGATAATAATCAAGTTTTGAATGATCAGTCGTTAAAAACAAGAGAACATAACAAAGAATTGCACCAACAGAAAAAGTCCTCTTCTATTACCAACAGAATAAGTCCCTTGCATCAACCAGCACCAGCCTGTCTGCATGCTCTGATTTAAATTTTAGATAAATTCTAAAATTTAAATACAAAATTAATCAAATTACATATGTTTGGACATAATTTACAAATTTTAAAATTATTTCAAGGCACAATGCGAACATTCCTTGAAGCTTATGTTACTACCAAACCCAAACATGTCAATAAATGACCAATATCTTCAATTCCAAAACGAGATATGCAAAATGCCTATAAACACACTTAATAGTAAGATTTGATGTAAGTTACTAGAAGAGCAAATTAACTTGATTCTAAGCCATAAAGCAACCTCAGATTGTTTGCCATCTTCCTTAATTACCTAAAAATGTTAGAACAAAACAGGACCTTGTGTTCATTAAATTACAAAGTTTTAAAAAAATAACAAGTAATAACATACCCCCCAAAATTGTCGATTTGTCTTTCTTCTTCTTCTTCCTTTTTTCTTTTTCTTAATTTTTTTTTTCTTTTCCAGAGATCTCATGTAGAGTTTGAAGACAAAGACAAATGTGAACAGGTCACAAATCACCAGGTGAACTGTCAAACATATACATTAAGTATAACCAACCCCAACAGTTTATAACCCTCCAATCCAATGTGACTGGTCTCTGATGATTAAATCCCAAATTCATTTAGCCATTAGAATGAATGATTCAAGAAGAAATTGTGTGTGTGTGTGTGTGTTGGGGGAGTGGGAGGGGTTGAGGGATGCACAAAAGATGTGCAACTTCCCACAATTGCAAGCTGATCAATTAATTTTTATTCCAAAAAAACCTTTTATAAGTTGAGCCCACAAATTTGAAGTGAAGCGAACTCAAAGTAAAGTGAACAAAACAGCAGAAGGAATACTCACATTGCGCTTTAGGAAGATAACTGCAGCTTCTTAATCATTTTCACCGCATACTTCTTCCACATTTCCATTAGTCACACCTATGATTTTTGCATCTTTGAAATGTGTTGCTGGTTTTGATAAAGTCCAGACCTGCACTTTTGATAATAAAAATTTTTGCCTTCAAACAGCATGATTTAACAAGACTTCTATCTGAAAGCAAATTGGGAAATGTGGAACAATGCCAAGCTATCTTACCCAATTTTATCTCATTTTATCTAAAATATGCGTCACTCCAACCGTCTCATAATTTAATGTATTTCTCATTTTCTCATTTCTTCTCTTATCACACACTTATCTCAACAATCACATTGCAGTCAAACTAATTATATGAACATATCTTTTCTCACCACCCAACATTCTGTATCACTGAGTATACCTAGTCTAATAATTTTTTTTTTCAATATAATTTATCTTTCAAATTCATAGATCTACTTTGATCACACATATGCCAAAGCCCTTTACCTTTTAATCCCATCTTAGTCTTCCCCGATAATATTAAATAAATAAGAAAAAGTAGGTTCGTAATAAACCAACCATTTGGAAATACACTTTGGATTCATTGATTTCAACTGTCATATAATTCGAAAACAACTACAGTTAGCGCTATGTTTGGGAGCACCAAATCGGCTCTTTGAATTCGGAATTGGAAAAAATTTAGTTACAAGTTTATAAACTATATATATATTTTTTTTCCAATTCCAAGACACCGATTTAGTGCTTTCAAATGCAACATTTAAAAATTTGCAAACTATGGTAAAACTATTGCTCCTCATTTTCATCCCCTACAGTGCATTAAAGGCTGAGAGGTATATATATATATATATATATATATATATATATATATTATTGATCCATCAACTAGCATTTCTCAATGTAGCAATGATAATGATCATTCAGACTCAAATTGCATATATATAACCTAAAAGATATATCTAGAACTGCACCCAAATGAGACAAGCAGTACTCATCATAATCACAAAAACCTATTCTGCAAGAGAATTCCAAATGCTCATCTCTTGCTTACTCTTGTACCAATTTCGACGCTTCATTTGGGAAATTATAAAAAAACAAATAACTATAAACACATGGAGGGTAACTATATCAGACCGTTGTTCAATCAGAAAAATTCACACCCACAATTGTAAAAACTGGTAACGACCCAAACACCAACATGTTCATGCACCAATCTTAGTATATATAACAGAGAAGTGTGTTACAATTGAATACCATTTTCATGCAATTTTTGCTGTAAAAAGAAAATCTACAGACATTAAACCAGAATACAACAGGATTTTAAATCCAGTTACATGCAATTTTTTGCTGTAACAGATTTCATTATACTCAATAAAACAAAATTGACATCTGTTAATGACTGTTTAATGAGTAAGGTTGATAAATTGAGTCGAATTAAGGTAAACAGTCAAGATATTAATGAAGAGTGAGAGGAAAAACCCAAGAAAAAAAGAGTAAAAAAAAAATGAAAAAGAGAGTAAAAAAAGATAGTTACCGATTATGTTCCTCGAAGTATATCCCCGCGCGCAATATCTGACAGTTGTATTTCATTCACTCTTCCGAAATTTTTTTTGTTAAACAAGCTCAGCAACCCATGAATGTAGCCTCGATTGCAGTTTTAAGTTTGTATGTAAGAAAAAAAAGTGGTAGTTTATCTTTAACACCCCTAAATTGAACAAATATCCCGTTAAAATATCTTTAAAAAATTACTATTATTTAAGTTCAAAATAATTTATTTATTTATTTTTTTTTGTCAATGATACAGTTAAAAATTAAAAAACAAAGATAAATTTACTTTTAATTTTTTAATACTTTTAATTTCAAAATATCATCAATTCAAAATAACTATTTTACCATCATTCATTCCTCTAACCTATCCATTTCCCTCTCTCTCTCTCTCTCTCTCTCTCTCCCTCCCCCCTAAGTAACAAGATACGTAAGTGATTGGTTTGGGTGTGACCACCACCATGATGATGGGTTTAGGTCTGACCACCACCATGGCCTCCTATTCCGCCGCTGTAACGTACCCTCACCCTACTCTCTCTGCATTGTTCTAAGAAAAATCTTATTTATTTGTTTATTTATTTTTCAAGATATGTAAGGGTTTTATTTTATTTATTTATTTTTTTTTATCTCTCTCCCTCCCTCTCCTTTATGTTATGTGTTAAAAATGCATGTTTTTGTGCACGGTGTGTGTATAGGTCAAGTGTAGAAAACACTCCTAATGTATATTTTTACTACAAACACTCATATGATTTTAAAATTGTACAGAAACACCCATCAATCATGAATCTAACATAAAGTAATGATATAATACCCGTTTTGTCTTTTTTCTCTTTAAAAAATGTCCAAGAGAGTATGTATGCTAATGATCTCATAGTATAAGGGTGTTATGTGCACATTAACTATATTTAATCCATTTTTAAGAATTTTCTCTCATCTTTAAAAAAAAAAAAACCTGCTCTATATATTTCCGCTAATAGTGTATTATCTCTCTTTAAAAATAAAAAAAAAAAATTTTTGTCACAATTATCAGATTAATGTAAAATATATCATATGGAATGAAAATTTCCGCTCCTTTTATATCATATACCACACAACAACATCGAGAGGTTCTCCACCCATGAAAGAGGCAAAAACTTGTATTTGTTGCTGCACGTTTTTTTCATTATTATTAAATGTATAAGGTATTTTAAATCATTAACTAATTAATAAAATATTAAAATAAAATACCAATAACTAATTTAGTTAAATATTAATTACTAATTTAGTTGAGTTTTACCAATTACTGATTTAGTTAAATACCAAATATATACCTGTGGACTGAGGAGGCATGTTGTTGGACTACCCTTATAATGTAGAGAAAAAAATTAGAAAGATCAGACATGTAATGAATTAAATACAGAGAAAGAGAGATTACAAGGTTCTCATGTATAGGATAACAGAGAGATTAGAAAGCTAAAGAGATATAGAGAGAGAGATCAAAAGAGAATCAGAAGGGTAAGATAGTGTCCCCGCGGCCAACTGAGAGGGAACTTGCCGCGACTCTCATAATTCTCAAGAAAGAGAAAGAAGTGAAGCAGAGTAACCTAAGTAAACACACACACACACACACACACACACACACCCCTTATATAAAGATAATAAAGGTATAATGTGTAAATTATTACACCGTATAAAGATAGTAAAGGTAAAATGTGTAAATTATTACGACTATATTTATATGTCTCTATATGTACTAAGTAAATTTGAAAGTGTGATACATGTGATTAGAAGCATAACAAAAAATTACATACACCATAACAATCAATCTTCTTTGAGATCGAGAGGTTGTCTGCCCATGAAAGATGCAAAAACTTGCGTCTGTTGCTCCACGTTCTTTTAATTATTATTATATGTACAAGGTTTTTCAAATCATTGACTTACAAATTAAATAATTAAATAAAATATTAACTAAAATAAAATACGAATTACTAATTTAGTTAAACACTAATTACTAATTTAGTTGAGTTTTTTACCAATAGATTTGGTTAAATACCAAATATATAAATATATACCTGAGGACTGTGGAGGCATATCGTTGGATGATCCTTTTAAAGTTGAGAAAAAAATTAGAGAGATCAGGTAATGAAATTGTAATGACTCGAATTCAGTGGATCCGAGTCGTCAATGGGCGGTGATCCGATCTGGATCCTTACCCGAACATGAGAACGTACATTTCTTACTAAGGATGGACGAGGAGTTAACTCTAAATGAGCCAAATGGAGTTCATTCTAATCACATTAATCAACTAATCTCATTTTACATGTTTCTAATGGCCATAGCTATAATTTCCCACAATTACCCACTCTCGGTTTGAAGAATTTTTTAACCCTACTTCACTAAAATAGATATCACTTTCAGTGTAATTGAAATTTTAGACTCAAGAATGACCTAATTTGGATTGAAGAGCAAATTATGGCCGTTTGAAATCTCGGCTGGAAAAAAATAAAAAATGTGCTGTGAACACGATGGGATTGATCCTAGGTGGGCTGGGATCGATCCCAGCTGGTCATAATATACATTTTCTGGTGACTAGTGATGGGATCGATCCCAGTGGTGAAGAGATTGATCGTAGAAACCCATAATATGGTTTCTTTGCTCGTTTGGGTCATTTATGCTTTTAAATGAGGAAATGGTCACTTGTAACACATGGTACCTATCCCAACTCATATAATTACGTGGTAAAAATGCTAATAATCATTCACCTGATTCATATAGTCAAATTAAATTATAATACACACAAAAATAGACCTAAGCTTATTAGTTACATTCTCATTTACAAAACAAAATATGTAAAAGATCATTACATGTAGGTCAAGTACACTTGTACATCAAAAGAATATGGATACAAGTTTGAAAACTACAAAGTACAAAGTTACATCAAAACACGAAATAGAAGGTCTCCATGGAATGGTGTCCATCCTGCATAAGTCTTGTACAAAAGGGAAATCAATTCAAGGGAAGCTACATCAACATCTATGCTTATGGGAGTGCGTCTTCCACTATCTCTTTCCCATGTCCTGAAAATGATAAATAAGGGATGAGTACAATGGCTGAATAGGAAATACCTAAGGCATGTGTAACGACCCGAACCCGTGGGTCCGAATCGTTAACCGGGTCCTTACCCGAACCCGAGGACATACTAGGGGTAAAACGGTCATTTTACAATATGAGAGGGTAATCTGCCTTTAAACTAGTTAAATGAAGTTAAGTGAATAGAGCTGATAAAACTGTGAAGGGCAAAAAGCCCACTGGAGAACTTGAACCTGATCCCCATATTTGGAACAGGTTCCAAATGGGCAGAATGCCCAAATGTGAATTTTGAACCTGATCCCAATATTTGGAATAGGTTCCAAATGGGCAGAATGCTCAAACTTGAATCAAAATACCCTTTGAACCTGTTCCCTGAAAGCTGAACAGGTACCAAAAGTCCAGAACCTTGAAATTTGCCCAGAAAAGCCTAAATTTAAGCACTTGTGTACATGGGTACTCCCTTGGTCCCTTGATGACTTTATTTAAAGTCTAATCCCAATCCCAAACATGTAATTGACAATGTATGAAATATAATTAAACTCTTGTACATTCAAATAATCCGAATACAAGTCCAATACATCATTTAAAGGCCGAATTACACAAAATCTCATTTTATACAATTTCAAATGAATCAAATACAATAAATGAGGCCTCCATGGCCAAAGCTACATAATTTTAATAAAAATGAATTACAATCCTAGCTACATCAATATCCATGGATGCCTATCATTCACCGGCTCATCTCCGAGTCCCTGAAAAATGTTAATAATAATAGGGTGAGCTCAACAGCTCAGTAGAGAAAAGTTTACATTACATTCCTAAAAATTTAGTGAACCACAACCAAAGAAGAGGAGAATAAGAAGAAGGGATCATAGGAATGTCAACCATAACATCAAACATTAAATTCAATGAATTCATAAATCATTTCAACATATGAGATGCAATTGCCTTCCGCTTTCCTTCCAATCCAAATCTCATCAAACCTTTCACCACCATCATCTCACTTCTCAACCCAACTTACACCACAACTTCAATTCACTTCTCATCCTTCATTCCCACGTCATGAATTCAATTTCGCAAGCCTAATTTCCCCCATGAAAATACATGAAATTTATGCCATTAATCATCAAAATACCATTCATGAATTTAAATCAATATCATCACTTATGATATACAAAACATAAAACAACCATACAAGCTATACTTCGACATTTCAACATAAAAAATAGCATGTTATGCACAATTAGCATAAAAACACATTAGCTACATTTCAACCATATAAATCAACCATATATCAAGCTTGAAAACCACAACTCAAAACTCTACAAAACTAAGCATGTTACAAACAATAAGATTTCATGTAAGAATATACATAGAAGCTCACTAAAACCATAGAACTCATAATTTAAACTTCCCCTACCTCAAGATAGCAAACCAAACAAGGCCTTTGCAAGCCCCAAATTTTGAAATCCTTTTAAACCCTAGCACTATTGGCCTAAATTTGAAGCTCATGCCAAGCTCTCCAACTTCCCTCCTTCATCTCCTTCAAAATCTAACTCAAACCTTTCCAAAATCAAGATCAAATGGTGGAAGACATTTAGTGAATATAGATAGATATAGAGAGAGAAGAAAATGGTTAGAGAGAAAGAGCATAGTGCCGAAAATGGTGGAGGAGGAAAAGTGATGGTAAGATAAAAATCTCAACTTTTGGTCATTGGCTTGCTATGTGTCAACTTTTGGTTCATTTCAAATTTTGTGCAAAGTTATAACTTGCCCTCCTTCAAACCATACATTGCCTCATTTGTCCCATAAATATCAACCTCTAACATATAGATATAGATGTATACATATATGTGAGAAAAGTGCATTATGCCCCTTTCTTAAAATGACAAAACTGGGAGAAGTTCCCGAGTCTGGAAATCGTCCTGACTTCTGAAAATTCTAAAAATAATACCATCACTTCTAATTGACTTAAAATGATTAAAAATACACTTCTAAAACCCTTAACTCAAAAAAATTGACCAAAACACCCCTCGGGGCCCGCTTGGCGCTCAAAACGAGGTAAGAATTAAAATAATCCA